AGGGGAAAAAACCAAATTACCCTCTCATATAAGTAAAAAAATTGAATTTGAGGGGTGGGGGGGGGGGGGGGGGGCGAGGACTTGGATCCTTCATGGGTCCACCCCTGATGGTATAGACAAGGGAAGTCGGTATACTCACATGTATAGAAATTTTCTTATCACCCTAGACAATTATGTTGTTTAAAATCACTAATTGTCGTGCTAATAGAATAATATCGGCTAGGAGCGAGTATACACCTTTACATGTTAGACAAATGTGTAAAGTAGATCATGAGCCATTATGCCAATGAGATAATATTGTTTATGTGCGTGTTATGTTATGTTTTAATAGTGATCCTAGAACACATTTGAATTTTAATAGCATGAAGTAAAATTAAAGTTAATGATTAAACATTGAAGAGTATAATTAGTGTAAAATCACTATAAGTTTATCCATCAAGTAAATTTCATCGACACATACATTAGATTATTACAAAATTTTTATAGAAATATGAAAAATCAATATATATATATATATATTTTCTTAGTTTACTGTACTTTAAAAGTGTGTTTGCTTCTGGGTCATCTTGTTTCAATATTTTTTTCAAATTTAATAAGATAAATAATATAGGAGTTAACAAATACAGAAGAAGTGGTCAACAACCAAAAAATAACATTTATTTGTTAATTAAAAATATTTTTTACTTGTTCTTTAGATTAATATTTTATTAAACAGTTAGTGATAAAATTAAATATATAAACAATTTAATTTTAACGTCCAACTGTCTGTTTCCACTTTGGTTAATTTTAAGCCCCGGGCCGGGTCATGAGATAAACGACTAAAATTCATTTATTTTCGAATAAATTTCTATATCTCACAATATCAAATGTGTTTATGCATATAGGATTTAACAATCTTTTAACACACACTCAAGTGCAAGGAAAGGTAGGCATCAATATAATAGAAATCCAACAATTTTTTTTATGATCTGTCAGTCTGACTAGTCATTATAAAAAGTTTTTCATTTCAGTTTTGATAGTAGTTAAATAATTTAGTTTTGATTGCATCTTACACATTCGAAATTAGTGACAGTAATTTCATTTGATCTCTGTGAATTTCCTAGTTAATTTATCATTTCAAATTTAAACCTTCCCCGTGAGATCGATATTCAGGGCTTAAATAGAAAGTCCTTTATTACTTGATAACGATACGTATACTTGCGTAGAATCCCAACATTAATTGCTTAAATTTCTTAATAATAAATATTGTATCAAGCTTTTGACACCATTACATAGAAGAGTCAAACTTATATAAATTTTATACAACTATATTTTACACGGATCAGATGGTTCAATGGAGCATACTTCCAACCAATTGCATTCCCAACAACTTCATCATTAATATCTACGATGAAGGCGACTGCATTCCCCCGCATATAGACCATCATGTTTTTGTGAGACCTTTATGCACGGTCTCCTTCATGAGAAAGAGCAATATCCTGTTCGGGAAAGAAATATATGTCATTAGCCTCGATGAGTTTAGAGGATCTGTGGAGATTCTGTTACCAGTGAGATCAGTATTGATTCTTAAAGGAAATGAAGCAGACCTTGCCAAACACTGTATTTCAAGGGTACGGTTCCGCAGGGTGTCTGTAACTCCTGTTTGAAGCAGATTAATGAAATCTTTTTCAGAATCTAGTCAGTTTGCTTAATTGCCCTTTTGTGCGATGGATAAAAAGCCACAGAACCATACGTGGGTTTCGAACTATAATGAACGAAGAACAAAATAATAAAAACTTGATAATAATAAAAAACAAAGAACCCTCTTGAAAATCAATAAACAAAAATTGAATTTTAAAAATATATATTGATAATCAAATGTGATAAAAGCAACAAAAAAAGAAAATAAATCTGTTGAGTTGTTTTTCTCGATTTCGAGGTTTCTTACTCTTTGCTCGCGCAGCACAACTGTCCATGTCTGCACTAATTCTCTTTACATCCCCACGAAATTTCACATTCTGCACAAAAATCTCACAAAATTTCATAAATTTTTCTCACCAATACCTATCTTCACATGACACATATTTATGAGTTAAACACTACAAATTCTCTACATTGTTTGCATATTGTTCTCGGTGACAGTACCGAGACGCTAATTCTTTTCTTGTTACCCCTTTGGGCTGGACGTGAGTCTTTATGCTTTCCTCCCCAACGTAGCAGATATTTCCCTTGTCACCATTTAGGTTGGATATGAGTCCCAGAGCTTTCCTCCCTAATGCGACACATATCTTCGAGATTGGTATAAAACCCCCTTAAATGGAGCACGACATCCTATTCTCAATCCTCGAGATTGTTGTAAGACCCCCTTAAATGGAACACGACATCTTATTCTCAATCCTCAAGAGTGGTGTAAGTCCCTCTTAAATGAAACACGACACCTTATTCTCAATCCTCGAGATTGGTATAAGACCACCTTAAATGGAACACGACATTCTATTCTCAATCCTTAAGATTGATATAAGACCCTCTTAAATGGAACATGACATCTTATTCTCAATCTTTGAGATTCAATGAGATTTTGGTAAAATGAGATGAGATAAATGATTTTAATATGTATTGTGCCAAATAGGAGCAGTTTTAATTCTCTACCCTGATATAGTGTTATAGAAAATCATTGGCTAATCCCAGGTTTGGTCCCTAAATCCGTGACCAGGCTAGGAGGATACTGGCTTCCACTCCAGAGCTCCCACTTTCCTTCACTTGAAGGCTAACTCTCTTTGTTTTTTAACACTAAGATCGAATTACTAAGATCGAATTGAGGATTTTAGTCTGTCACCCTAAAATCTCTAATTCTACACTCAATCAATGTATATTTTCCTATTTATTTGCACTTAATTCCATGAACGAAATACTTCTTCATGGAATCAAATGTGATCCTCACTCTTTTGTAGAACTCATACTCTATTTCCCGGATCATATGTTTCACAACACATTTTAACAATTCAATTGATTAGATCGAAAAATAAATTAAGTTCGAAGTTGAAAAATCATCACAATTTATTTTATATTTTAATATTGACAAACCCATATTATCTTTTCATTTTATCATATCTCAGAGTAGTAAAAAAGATAAAGAAAACTAATTAGACTTCATGAGAAAGATACGACAAAACACAAATTTCATATACAAAAGAAAGTTCATACAACATTAATAAACAAACACTTATCTGAAACTCTTTCTCAAAGCAAATCCCTTGTAGCCTCTCGTAGGAAATGTAAGAAGAAGAAATCTCTCACTTTTCTCCTTCTCCAACACTCTTAGAGAAGAATTCACCCTTAATCTCATCACAAAACTCTAAACTCTTAAAGATAAGTCACTAATAGACTCCTGAATGGTGGTGGAATGAAGATGGAAAAAGTGTATGGAGGCGAGCTGTGGCGAAAATGAGCAAGTCGGAATGAAGATGAGCGCCTTTTCTAATTAATTTCGGCCCCTGATAGAGCCTAGAGTTGGTTCTCCAATAGGTGCATCCAAAAACCCTTAAAAAGCATCCAAATTCGTCATATCTTCTAGAAACAGGGTTTGAACCGACATTGGTGCCGTCGACGCCAGTGTCCCGTATTTAATTTCGCTGCTCTTTGTCAAATGACATCGTCGGCGTTGCTTCTGGCGTCGTCGGTGCTGAGTAAAATCCATCAGCCGTTTTGTAAGTCTGCACCGTCGGCGCTGCTTCTGGCATCGTCGACGCTGAGTAAAATCCATGAGCCGTTCTGTAAGTCTGCGCCATCGACACTGCTTCTGGCACCGTCAACGCTTAGTATTTCTTCAAAAACGCTATTTTAACTCCAAATTCTATCATTTTTGCTTCCTTTTTGCTTTAAGTCCTAAAAATCAACAACTTACAAAAAAACATAAAAATACCCTTCACAATCAAACACATTGATATGACTACAACATGTCATCAGTATTCATGATTATTAATGTACAAGAATGAGATTTAACATATCAAAGCTATAAAATAAATAATAAATAATGAAATCATGAGATGCTAGAAATTAAACATGAGTTTATGCAACAATAAAGTAAGACTAATTATTCATAGTCGTTATGAACCAAAAATAAATTCTATTGCAAATAAATGAACATAATTTAAAGAATATAGTTGACAATTCTATAAATAACTAAGACTCTAAATTAAGTCGTAAGGATAATGCCCCTAACAATGAAGGGTATAATTACCCCATAATAAAGAACATTTACTTTTCTCAAGGTGAAAGCTAAACTCCAAATTTATTAGTTCAATTACTAGTAAATCCTACACAAATTAGAATCCCAAAATTTAAGATATATGCAATTAAATATATTAAGATTAATTATTTATTAGGTTAGGTGCAGGGATTGATTTGAATTTAACTTTATTCTAACCTAAGGAGATTACCAAGCAATGGGGAGGTAATAAATATAAAATTGGATACCAACATCATGGACAAAAGATAAGTAGAAAGTAATGAGGGAACTTACCATCGACCTCGACTGTAGTGGTAAGTTATTTGACCACCGAGGACGACGTTGCGAAGTTGCGGGAAGGAGGTGAGGGAAAGGACAGTTGTAAAAGCTTTAGGAAGAAGATAAGAGACGAGATTGGAAAAGTTCTAATGACTATAGGAAGGAAGATCTTTGACTGCAAAGAGGAGTTTTGCAATGCCTTAGATAATTGCAACGAGGCGGTGATAGCGAGGGAGGAATGGGAAAGTTGCATGGCTTTCCCAACTAGGAAGGTAACAAGACATGATTGCGAGATTCACGGGATCGCAGGATTCAAACAAAAGGGGGAGGTTCGTGATTAAGCAAGCGGTGCGAGCGAGATTGCGAGAAAAAAAAGAAGAAAAGTATGGGTTCTTACATATTTTTGAATAAAAAAAGACTTTAGAATTTACATTTTTTGGGTTGGACCCCTTTTTCTCGGCCTTCCACACCCATCCTCTTGTATACTTACATTTTTGCTATATGTAAGTTGTAGGGAAGTCAAAGCACGGGCTGCAGTTTTCCTGGAGTTCCCAATATTGACCATACACAACCTTTTGTAAGAAAAGATATAGTCAACTGGCTCAAATGGCTTCGTGAAACAATCAGATTTCATGATTTCCGCTTTGATTTTGCCAAAGGGTAAGTCCACTGCCATAGGATTCTAGCCACGCAAGATAGTAAATTCACTATTTAAATTTAACATTTCTACCGTACCAATTCCAGCTATGATGCGAAGTTTGTGAACGAGTACATAGAGCAATCAAAGCCAATATTTTCAGTTGGAGAATATTGGGATAGCTGCAGCTACAGCTCGGCTGATCACTTGGACTACAATCAAGGTAATGACTTGCAATAATTGGTTGTTATTATTTTAAGCTAAGTATTTTCTTTCTGTCAGAGCAAATCAAAATGAACCCTATCTTTAAGAAATATATTCAGTATCCTTCCCATGAGCTTATATTTCATATTGTCTTAATTGAATGTGAATTGTTTTGTAAATTCTGCACTTCAATTCCAATAGATTAGACGGATTATAAGAACAATAATAGTAATAAAAAAATTGTTGATGCGTGTTATCTTTTTGTTTTTGCTTCCACAGGGGGTAAGCCTTGATGGGTTTCAAGATTAGAGTAGAATGATCTGATATGCAACTATATTTCATTCAGGGTAGTTACTAGAGATTGATTTTGAATTGTAATGCCAGTGCTTCTTTCCAAACATACAAACTTAAAAGGGACGAGTCAAGCTGATATAGTGATTATTACATACTTTGTTAAGAAAAAATTGGGATAATGGGAAGTTAGAGAATTAGCATCTACATCACTGATACCTTGAGTTTTGGATAATGGGAAAATGATATCTAATTTGCTTTCGTGTAGTTTAGTGATAATTTGTTGCAAATCTTGAAGTACATAATAAGTTTTAAACACAAATCTCTTGTGTTAAGACGGACTATGAACTTTTTATTTGATTATTGATGTTTCAATATCTTCCTTCATTTTAGGAAAAGCCTGTATGTACATGCCTAGGGTGATCTGCCGTCATGTAACTTTGGATTGTTTTGAATTCCATGCCTAGGGTGATCCGCCATCATGTAACTTTGGATTGTTTTGAATTCCCTCATATTTCTAGATTCTCTATTATTCATTTGCATTGATCTTGCAATTCATCTCTGGTAGCTATCACCCCTCTGTTTTACTGTTGTGATTATCATTTCCCTCCATTTACATTGTTTTGTGACTCTATGCTCTCCCCTTCCTCCGTTATTGGGATTTGTTGTTTTGTTGACAGCTGATGCAATGAATTTTATGTGTTGCTGAGGCTGGGATGCGAATGCTCGAATAACACTGCGGGTGCGCCAATAACGCCACGGGCGCCGTATAGCGGGAGCTGCGAGCTTCTCCTTCGATACCCTTTGTCTGGACCAAATCGTTCCAGATCTGGAAGGGCCGATCGGCTCTCTCACGAGGTTTGGTCTTCTTTTCATAGGGGAATCCAATCTTAGTTATCTAGGGTATATATATGTGATTCACTGATTCTTGTTTCTAGGTTTTCAGATTTTTGTGTGAGTTTGTTTAGGACAGTTGCTGGCGTTGGTTTCTTCCTTCGAGGGTTGTATTCGAGAGATTTGGTTGTGCTATGGTTATATATCTCTCCCGAGGTGTTGATTATCTTCCCTATATCCTTTCACTTCCTCCCCACATTGCTCCCAGTCGTCGTATCCCGTTGTAGCAGCCCGAAACAGCATTCCAATTGTTGTTTTATGCAGTTACAGCCCCCCACCTTCACTGCCGCCAATGTTTCCCCCTTTAGCCTCGCTGTTTTGACCATTGTCCAGCCATCCGAAACACTGTTGTCATCTGGAAAACAGCACGCCGGCTGTTTTCATGCTGTTCCCTCGCCGTTCCAGCCTTTTCCCACAGCGCCTTGCTGCTCCGCTTGCCACCCCACTTGCTGCCCTTGCTGTCCCAGCTCTCCACTTCGCTGCCAACGGGATTCCAGCCCCTGCATTAGCTGTTCGAACTACCTACAACCCATTTCAGCCATCTATCTCCACTCCCCAACCACCTAGTTGACCTCCATCGCTCATGGATTGGCCCTAGTGTGAGCTTGGCCATGTTTGTTGTTATTTCCTGTTCAAGTGAGTCTGATTGTAGCTGTCTATTTGCTTTTCAGTAATAATATTTGGTTTCCTATTTTACTTTAGGTTAACTCGAGTATCAGTTGCTTTGATTGGTGAATAAGGATTCCAAAGAGATTTTATGATTATAAATTGGAGTTTGAGGCATTTACAAAACACAGTTAATTATTCTGAATTAAATTCTAGTCGATGTACAACTTTTTTGGATTTGGGAGACAACCCCATAATCGAGTGAGAGACTTTAAGGTTTTTGAAGTGAGGTCTTCCGTTGTTTACATACATGAGGCTTATTTATTCTTATTTTGACGAGCTCTTTCATTTTACCTTTGTCTTGAACTAATTTTAGTTACTTGGACTGTGAGATTGATTTTCTCAAATACCATTCAATCTGATTTTCAATGAGTATGTGGATTTTAATTTGTTGCATAATTTTTTTTGGTTTTAAATGCATATTCATTATTTATGTGATTAGATTTGTTTGTCATCATCATGGTTAGCCTTGTCCCTACTATTTGACCCTTACATCCGGGGTTAACATATTTTTAAGTCTTCTTTTGTTAATTTTAGTTATGTAATCTTTAATCTGTGTTTTTTTATCATTTCCAAAAAATCATATTTACCTATCTTATGGTTGCATCTGAAATCACCATTGTCAATTTAAAGCCTAGATATGGAATATAAATGCTGGATGTTAGGTTGACGGCGGGTTTTAAAATTAATGAAATGAGTTCAAATTTAAATTTGTCTAGTTTTATGAGTTTCAAGAAGTGCTGTGTTATGACCTCACTTAACTAGGGTATTTAGTATGATAGGATTTTCTAGAATGCCACCCTCAAGTTGTAGAGTTTATCTGATTATGGTGAAAGTAGACAGGGGTTGGTATAGATGTCACTCTCAAGTTACGAGCCATAACTCACTTGTGGTGAAAAATAAGCAAGCGAGGACAATACCTAAAACTAAAATTAGATTTACCACATCAAATGTGAAGATGTTAATTTGTGGACACAATGATTATAAGATCTAAGAACAAGTGGACTAGTAGTTGTCAATGTCGCAAAGAGAATTCTAGGTAAGTGCCAATCCGCATGCTTGATTAAGAGGAAATTTATTTCCTTCTCTCGGAATATATTCCACTAATTTTATTTTCTTTTATTTGTGTTTCCAATTTTTGTATTCTTCTCTGCTTGGAGGATTTCCTATTTTATTTCCTTTCATCATTGTATATCTAGAAAGTATAATGCAACAATATGAGCAAGAATTAAATTTTTTTTCAAAATTCTAGATGATATTAGGGCCTCCGTGCATCTCTAGGACTCGAACTTCTCTACGTGAGAAAATCGCAACCATCTGTTTTGTTCGAGTAGTTCGTGGAACATCTCCTTGTGTTGTTACAATGTTAAGCATCCTCGCCTCTCCTCGACTTGGCTCGGTTCGCTACAGGAAGCGAACACCTCCTTGTTTCATGCTCGTGAGTCTTGCTAGTCTTGTGAGTCCCGCGAGTCCTTCGTTTCTCGCTCACCTCTCTCATATGCACTCACCAACAACCACAATGAGATCTCCTACCTTACTCTCTCGATCAAACTATAGGTACCCTAGCTGTAGTCTATCTCCTCCATTCGAATGGATCTTTTTGTACGCATGAGTCGCTGGTCTCTTTTGTTCAGTAAAGACGAATGATTCGATCTTGGCCTTGCTATTAGTTTGCTAAAGCTGAACGATTCAGTCCCGCAGTTGATTTGGCTTGCCCTGGCTGTCATCTCATGAGATGTCGACTTGAAAAAGGCTCAATCATCCCTAGCCTAATGCCAAACATGTGCACACCATGAGCTATGCACCTCCCTCTGATTCATGTTTGCTTATCCAAGCAAGCAGTCAAACTAAGGGAACTTTGATTTCATTTGTGCGACAAATATTGATTTAGATTTCACAATCTAATCAAGGCCAAACACAGTGTTGCCTCAAAATCTTCTTCCTTAGAAGTCATTTTTATATTGAATAATGTATCTTTAGTCCCTATTGGACCTGATAACTCCTTACGACCATAATTTTATTCAACGGTCACCGTCTGTCTTCATGTAGATTCATGACGGACTTGGAAAACTAACAAACATGATTTGGTATCATTTTTTACTAACTTTCCTAACTATCTTTTCTTTAATGGAAATTTATTAAAACATGATCCCAAGTATATCGATGCATCTTTCTCGGTTACTCATCCAATAAAAAATGATACAAAAGCTATTCTCCAATATCTATAAAAATATATAACTTCATGGATGTCACATTCTTTGAGAATCAACCTTATTTTTCCAAATCTAAAATTCAATGGAAAACTCGTGGGAATATCGGAAGTTGATGTGTTGCTTAATAATAAATGCTCCAGTGTTGATTATTTATTAAGGTTTAGATGAGTTTCAGATTTTCATTGATGCATATTTGAAGGGTTTGAGTTGTATACTTATGCAATATTGAATGGTCTTTACCTATGCTTCAAGGCAATTGAAGAGCCATCAAAGGAATTATCCTACTCATGACTTGGAGTTGGTTGCTATTGTATTTGCATTTAAGATTTAGATGCACTACTTATATGAAGTCAGATGTGAGGTATTTACTGATCACCAGAATTGAAATACATCTTTACTCAAAAAGAGCTTAATTTGAGATAGAGGTGGTTGGAATTCATTAAAGTCTATGCTTGGATATATAGTATCACTCGAGGAAGGCAAATGTGGTAGCAGATGCACTGAGCAGGATGACTTTAGGTATTTTGAATTGTTTATTCAATCAGCAGTAGTTACTTGAGGATTTGGAGAGGCTGAAGCTTTTTGTGATTGGTTATGGTGATGACAGTTAAATTGAATCAGTTGGCTGTGCTGTCCACATTGAATGATAGTTTCAAAGATTCATTGATATGAACTTCACTGTTAAGAAGATTTTAGATCAGGTCAAGGATGAAAATTTGGAGAAGTATATGTTAGATATGGATGAACTGTTGAGATATAAATGCAAGATTTATATTCTAGATGTTGATAATTGTGAAGAGAACTTATGGCTAAGACACATTTATCTGGCTATACTATTTACCCAGGGACTAATAAAATATATCAAGAACTTCAAAAAATATTTTGGTGGCTAGGATTGAAGAGAAATGTTACAGAATTTGTGGCTAAGTATCTTACATGTCAACTAGTGACGGCAGAACATCGATGTCTAGGAGATCAGCTGTAACTTTTATTTATTCCATTATGGAAATGAGAGGAGACTATGGACTTTGTGATTATATTGCCTAGGTCATAACAAGAACTTGATTTTATTTAGGTAATTGTTGTCAGATTGATAAAATCTGCACATTTCTTCCTCATTATACAGACATAGTTTGTTGAGAAGTTAGCCAAATTATATGTGGATGAAATTGTAAGGTTGCATAATGTCAAATATTATTTCAGATAAAGATGACAGATTTTTTTCTAGTCGCAGAAGAAAATTCACGAGGCTTTGGGCACAAGGTTGATTTTTAATACAACCTTCCTCACTCAAATAGATGGCGAGTTAGAAAATACTATTAAGAATTTGGAGTATCTACTAAGGTTGTGTCCTTGATATTGGTGGATGATGGGAATCATATATACCCTTGGTAAAATTTGCTTACAATAATAATTACCATGCAAGTATTGGGATGACTCCATATGAAACTTCATTTTGAATAAAGTGCAGAATACTTTTTTATGGGCTAAAGCAGGTGAAAGAAATGTCATTTGAGCTAACTTGGTTAATGATACTACTGAAAAGATTAGACTGATTAAAAAATAATTAAAGACATATGTTAAACAGATAAAATATTATGATGCTAAACATTGATGTGTTGAATTCGAAGTTAGAGATTTTGTTTTTATTACAATCAGTCCTTTGAAATGTGTGCAAAGATTTGAAAAGACATGAAAATTAAACTCCAGTTCTGTTAGTTCCATATGAGTTGACTTTACCAGCTCATATGCAAGGAGTACATAATGTTTTTCATATATCGTCAGTTAGAAAATATATTGTTGACGAGTCTGTTATAATTGTTCTAAATTTAGTGAAGATACAACTTGATTTCACCTATATAGAAGAAGCTGAAAGAGTACTGGACTTTGAAGTTAAAATACTACGAAAAAGAGAGATTCGTATGGAAACATGGATCGGAAAATGATGCTACTTGAGAGAGTTTTAGATATCCAGGAAAGATATCTCGAATTCTTCAGTTAAAGTGTCATACCCCAACTGACTTCCATTTATAGGTCGACTGAGGTGTGACAGAGTCCGACGATTCAGTCAGACTGAGTTCTTACCAATACTCATTTTGACTTGTAGAATCAGAACCCAGTGGGTGATTAACTAGACTAGTTGAATTGTTGCAACATACGTGATACATTGCATTTCATAATTCATCCATATACATACTTGGAAGCTTGAAAAATCATAACCTCAGAACATGAAAACTATACAGAGCTGTTAAATTCAACATAAATAAAATATATAACCAAAAAGTCTGTATAGACTCCCCAAAACTATACAAATAAAAGTTGTACAAATCACACCTAAATACTCACCTTAGTTCTCATTGCCTTTTTCTGAAAGGCAACAATGTAGAGTGAATAACAATGAACTTAGAGAAATAATCAAGGTTAAAATAAGATTTTATACACTAAAATGAAATAATATTTATGTTCATATGGAATTGTACATGTCGTCACACAAGTCACTATATGCTAGAATTATATTGACATGAAAAGGAAAACATGTAGTATAGAAAGCAACACTGCTATATAAACATGCATGTCATAAGCATGAAATCACAATTAAAATTAAAAGCATGTTCATAAATTATTTGTTGTATATAATCATAACAATGTTATTTCATATTAATATAATTAGAGCATAAAAATGTCACTCGTAAATGTATAGATCTCAACTATTTTCATGTCCTATCATATCATGGATTGCTACCTTGCGTCAAAGGTCATAGAAAGCTATATGTTCATGACCTATATAGCTTAGCCCACACTTCCTCTCCAATCCAAAGAGTTCTCTGCCCACACTTGCGATTGTTTGTGAACATGTCACGTAAATGATAGTGCCTTCTATTTTAAATTTCTTCTAATATCTTTGTTATGCTGATGTAGCCACCAAATTGTTTTTTTAACATAAAACATATAATTGAGAATCATTAGATATAAAGCATCATGTGTTACATAAGTGTATTGAATTTAGTTACTATCTCAAATTCTCTAAACAATATGTCATGCACATCAATAAATATCTTCTTATAGGATAAATAGGAAGGATCATATTTGCTCATTATACTATCTTTTATTTTTATGTCATTATGGATTGAGCCTGTGAAAGAACCTTTAGTTACCACTGCAGAAATCAAAAAAATAATTGAAAATGCATACAAACTTAAGTATCGCTGTCAGTGCCACCCTGTTCAATAGAAGTGGATGAAATATGTTGATATGTTGGTGGCGGCAGTAGTTGTGGATGATGATAGTTGGACTCCCCATAACCAATGTTAGGGTGAAATGAGTAAAATAGAGTGGCGTCGACAGGACTCAGGGAATAAAAAGCTGGTGAGTAGATTCGGGTGGTGAGATCAACGAGAAAGTCATCGTGGTGAGAGTGACTGTACTGGTCTGATGGTAGGACGGAATACAATATTTGTCTTCCTTGTACTTGCCACCACCTGATGTCATCTATAATAATAAAACAAAAGATTAGAAAATAACAAAGTGTTACATAAAGACTTAATAATAAAAAAGTAGTGCACAATATTACAGTTTAGGGCTAAAAGTAAAAGAAAAATACTCTTAACTTTAACGCACATATCATGTAGTTTTCTCATATAAACCATAATTTGTCTAAAATGATCGACTGATAAAATAAAATGAAAAAATTTTTTCGGAGTAGTGGTTGATGGAATGCTTCCAATGAGAATAAACGCGTAAAAGTAGCACATTATTCACCTTTTGTATTTATGGCTGTAAACCATGCACGTTCTCATCAATATCACCGTTCTTTGGTGGAACTGTTATTGATCTCATGGCAATTGGTTTCTGGGTAAATATCCCACAAATGCTTTGTTATACTGGTTGGGGAAAATCATTTTTTTTATGATTACTGCTACTTGCTGCTTTTATTGAGTTCAGTACAAGGGTCAGGTCTAGCTGAATATTTGATGTCATTTCGAGGTAGCATTAGGGATTATTTATTTATATTATTCTTAATTTTTGCGTTGGAAAGTACAGATAATCACAGACAAAGGATTATAAATTGGATTGACAACACTGGAGGGCTTTGTGCTGCATTTGATTTCACAACCAAGGGTATTCTTCAGGTATCAGTTAAATGGTCTAGTTTTTGCATGAACTTGGTTAGCTGGTTAGGAGCAATGCGGTTTACCAAAGCTATTTTTCTGAAATAGGAAGCAATGAAAGGAGAGCTATGGCGTTTGAAAGATCCTCAGGGGAAGCCACCTGGTGTGGTGGGCTGGTGGCCTTCGAGGGCTGTGACATTCATTGAGAACCATGACACGGGATCCACTCAGGTTTACATGTGTTTTTTGGCTATAAACCATGATTTTATGCTTTCGGAAGTTTTTTTTTTCCTGCTGGAATGTTAAGAGATGATTAAAGGGATTGTTCATTTTGAATTTCAAATATGATTATTTGATTATGCCTTCTTGTATTTGTATTTTCAGGGTCACTGGCCTTTTCCGTCGGATCACATTATGGAGGTTTGTTGATAATCTGATAGAAATTTTTTTTGGGTGTATTGTTTCTTCCAATACGCCTGAGCTCTGATTTTCTGCTTTTTTCTTGCTTTACATTTTCAATCTACTCTGGCACATGATTTGTGTTCTACCCTCAACAAGCGTATTGATTTATGCATCAAGACAAGCAACAACATAAATTGGACTTGTATTTAGCATAAAACTTCTTCAGTATCCTTGCTTGTTTTATATGTTATGTATTAACATAGGGACAAGAATGATGAACGACAAAGTAATTGTTATAGAGATCTAGCGCCACAAAGGAGAACTTAAAAATTTATATGATTTTTGCTCAATTTATATGTCAGCGATAAAAAGTTGGGTTGGGGGAGTTGCCCGTAGAAAGCTGTCGGTCACCGGAATCAAAATCCCGTCGCCCGCTTCAGAATGACGCTTTAATTTACATATAGATTTAAGTTTAGAAAAATATGAAATGAAACTGACCCCATATTTTTCATACTGACTATTTTTCATAGTTTAAATGAAATAGCGCTTTACCTCAAACCCTGTATCTATCCCGAGGGATGAACACGAAACTTGAGGATGAGACTCGATCAAATAAACTAAGAAATATATGACGTCCGTTTGGTCTGCGAAACCATTTTATTTGCCGACAAATTCTCTTATTTAATATGAAAAATTAAATAGGGTTTGTTTTAAGCTAGGTTCGGAAAAACTTCGTATAAGGGCAAGCTCATATAGTTAATTACATTTTAAATGACTGAAATCTCTTAAGAATACTCTCGATAAAAATAAAAAAAAATTATCTTCAAGGACTTCAAAAAAGATTAGACTTTTCAATCAAATTGGACAAAGAGGTGTGTAAAAGGGAAATGTTCAAACTTGGAACATTTATTACAAAATTCAAAGGAAGAAGAACTAGAGGATGCGACAGATCCAGATGAGATCCTCGGTGACTTTCCAGTCTACCCTATGGTTTGGCTTCAGTTTCGAGGAGAAATATTCAAGTTTTTTATCCTGCCAATTTTATTTATTTAGGACTTACATTCGCGTGAAACGATCACACAAATAGCCTGGAAGATGTGAGGATTTAGGTCGTAACGAACGACAACTTCAGAATTCTAAAACGAGTTAGAGCTTATATCGTATAGCAGAGCTATACAAATGCCTAACGAAAAAGTTGAGGATTTATGTTGCGCTTGGCGAACAATCTTGAAATCCTATAGATTGTTATTTTAATTTCTAGGAAATGAATAGTTTAGCTGAGGAAGACATGTTCTGCTGTTGAAAAGACATGTTCTGCTGTTGAAGATGCTGTTGAAGATGGTCGTGCTGCCCACCGCGCTAATTCCAAGTTCCTTTTCGTGACGAGTTTAAGATTTTTAGGGTGTCAGGTTATGATGTCAAATCCAACGGGCCTATGGTTGTAGTTCTTCAAATATTTTTATAGATAACATGTTGAAGTTGTATATTGTATAACATAACAGTAGAATATGTAACATAGGACAAACAGTAGAGTATGCAGTAAAGAAACTAGTACAACATGCGGTGTAAAGAAAAGTAAAAAGTACAGTAGAGAAGTGATTATAAGATAATAACATGCTGTAAACATAAAACAAACCTGTATACCTTGGAGATCCGCTATTCCTTAAGTGTAATTGATGCAACTGGTACAAATAACAAAATTTGAGGAAGCAGACTAAAATGCTTTATATAAGCGAAAAACAAAGAAACATCGTCCAGAAATCTCGAGAAAGATCGTCAAAAGACTCACGACAAGAGAAATGCGAGGAAATCGACGAACCAACAAATCGATTAAAATCGTAGAAAACACGGGAAAATCCCGAAAAGAGACGACGATTGCTTTGTCCAAAAAATTCGATAATACATATGAAAAAGTCCGAAAAGAGGGGACCACAAGCACTCGGGTCGGGGCTAGACTCAACTATATATTAGTACTCGAGGGTTGCTATATAACTCGAGGGTTGTCGAAGGCTACTCGGTCACCCGGATGTATAAAACCCGCCACTCAACTAGAAGGGTGTCCTATCGAACCTAACTCAGGAGGGTATTCCTTAGCCTAAATAGGTGATCGAAAGGTGGACAACCAATATTTAAAATGTATTTAAAATTTATGTATTCAGCATGCGCATAAGTTTCAAACATGCAAAAAGTGGACTGTATCAAGTTTGTTTGTAGCGAAAAATATATTTTTTGTTTTGGAAAAAAGATGTGTTTGTTCTTATCAAATTTAGTTTTTATCAATTTTGAAAAGTAGTTGTCCACGAGTCGATCACGCTGTCGGGCATAAGACTACCAACAACCTAAGAAGGTTCAGGTAAGCTCCCGCTAGTCTTGTATCGGTGAATGATATTGTCATCCTACAGCTCACCGGGTTTTTGACTTGGATCCTGATGGGTTCTTGAATCGAATCCCGATGTCGTAGGATGACATATCATTATGCTCTATCCCCAGTGTGCCTTTTTCATCACCGCCCTAAGCCCTAAAACAAAACCGACCTACTTGCGACATTGCTTGATGGTTTCACGTATAGCAAAAGACTATACGTGGACACTTATGTATCAGACATAAGCATAAGAAGCAAGGAAAAAAATAACAAAAATAGGGTGAGAGAGATGAGAGCTTGATTCACCTAAAACATCGAAAAGGACAAAGGATGAATCGACTCTCAAAACTCGTGACGAAAATACCTGAAAAGGAAAGCCCGAAGATCTTTGAATCAATCCGAAAGGATATCATTTTCTCACTTTTTCATAAGTGGATCAACCAAAGTCAAAATGACCTCTTAACGCCGATATCCAAACCCCAAAGATATCTTTTATGAAATTAATTCATTCCAACTAATTGTTTTTCCAAAATGAGACTTAGAAATCTCCCAAACTTCACAAAAGGAAAATAATCCGGAGAATACCACCACTAGTACTCCCAAACCCATGCAAAAATCAGGATCCTCTAACTTCCAAATTAATCAATGGCCTCATATATCAAATAAACATAAAATCTTCCCATAGAACCAAATAAATGCTCATGACCGGGTTCAATAGAGGGGAGCAAACAACCACCGAGGCTCTCGGCTAAGTCCACCAACAGAATAAGGCACTCACGGCTGAGTCAAGAAAAATGGCCAAAAGAGGCTCACGACTAAGACAACCAAAAGAACCACCAGTGGCTACTATGCTCCCTCGACATACATAAGAGGCTAACTAAAATGATTATAATTTTTGGGATGAAAAACTTGATTCAACAATAAAATTCAAGCCACTCAGACTCAACAAGAAGAGCCATACCGTCCCAGACAACCCCTCAATAGGTTCACGGGTAGGAATAGGAGAAGTACAGGACAACCACCCAACAAGCCAGGCCCTCGGGCAAGGGCTTAAAACGAGCCAAACTGAGCCCCTCAACTACGCCCA